AAAAGGTTTTTAAAAATTATCTCTATGGTGGATAAGTGGTCTCGAAGGATCTAAAAATGGCTGAAGGGAAGAAAGTATAAAGGTATTTTGAATGGAGTTCAGTCAGAATGATATTGAGGTGGGATACCTCAATGCTCAGTGTTGAGTTTGTTCTTTTTGACTTAAATCAATTACAGATTAAATGATGGTCAATAAATTGTTTAAATTTGTTGGTGACATTAAGTTCTTGGATGTTGCTGACTGTGATGAGGATGCTTCTGCCTTACAAAAGGATTTAGCTAATTTGGTGAGTAGGGTGAATAGCAGGTAGATGACTTCTAATGGTAATAAATACCGAGTAATGCAAATGGTTTATCATCATTTAAATTATAAGTAATGGGATTTTGAGCTATATTTATAGAAATATTGAATATACGTCTAAAGAGGTTATTATTTCAATGTATGGGTCACTATTTAAGTCACTGATTTGGCGTATTGTGCTCAGTCTTGGGCTCCTTACCTTAAGAATGACATCAGATTTCTTGGAAATAGTTTAAAGAGGGGTTATTAGGCTGATACCTTGGATGGAAAGGTTGTCATAGAAGGACAGGTTAAGATTACTGAAATTGTTTTCTCTTGAAAGAAGAAGAGTTAGAGATGTTCAAGATTATTGGTGGAATTCGTGGTATCGATGCGTTATCCTTTCTTTATTTAGTGATGAGAACAGTAGGCTGGATTTAAGTTGAACCTATCTGTCAACCTTCAGATTTTCGCAACTTATGGGTTGAAAATTTGTCTACAAGGATTAGTTACTCGCAATTTTAAAGCAACCTTTTGTTAATAAAAGAGCTCACACAAAAGATTCGTTTGTTTAAAATGTTAATTAAACCTAAAGTATTTCGTGGTATTTGAAATTCAACTTACTAACTATAAATTTTAGTTTGTTGGATTTCGTGCAAAGCTAGAGAAGAGCTATCCGCACTATAGTATCCTTTAATTTTGGAATTGTACACTAGAGGGAAGGTAGGTATAGCGGGATTTCATCGTCACTCTTACAGTGCAGTAGCTGCCCAACAGGACTAAAGGTAAATTGTTTGTTAGTAAAGGGACTCGATTCGCGGAACTTCAGATCTACATGTCGCCACATAACTACTTACCTGCTCACGGCCCCTAACTAAAAATGAAATTCAAAATTGCAAAGGTAGATAACGATTAAGTGATATATATAAACAGGGAAATGTATTAGTTGAATAAAATTAGAAAGTTTAATTAATGTATGACATATATGTCTGGGGGACTGATATGCTTCACAGGTCGAAACGACACAAGTTTAAGACTTGGCAAAGACAGGCTAATCTTGAGTTACGACAGTTTTATTTTCTAACACTATAATAACAGGGTGGTTGGCTTATGTAGTGAGTTTCCATGGGCTATAGCAGAGGCCGGCACTATACAAGAGTTTAAGAATGGAATCGACGATTACAGAAGAAAATCTATTCATGAGTATTTATCAACCAATTATGAAAATAATTACAATTTAGCAGAATTACCCAACAGGTTCGAAACTCGCTTGTTTGAGATAAGATAGATTTTTGTTTTTTTATGAAATTCGCGCAAAGCTATCTGCGCTAGCCGTCCCTAGTTTAGCAGCGTAAGACTAGAGGGAAGGCAGCTAGTCATCACCACCCACCACCAACTCTTGGGCTACTCTTTTACCAACGAATAGTGGGACTGACCGTCACATAATAACGCACTCACGAGCATGTTTGGTGTGACGGGGATTTGAACCCGCGACCCGCAGATTACGAGTCGAGCTCCCTAACCACCTGGCCATGCCGGGCCTAGATGATATAGAATGGTAAGTTAAAATAATTAATTATTTTCTAAGTTAGAAAAATGAGATACCGAAATGTATGCTCCTGAACAAAGTTTATTATTTAAGTGTGATTTGTTGTAATCCAAAATGTTTTAAGCTTTTGAAACAGATAGGTTAGGCAAGATTGCTCCCGAGGAAATTGTATTTATTAAAATGTTGTGGAGTTATTGGTCTATGTCGCTAATGGGGGCACTTTTAACCCATAAATATATATAAACCATATAAAAAACGCTCGTACATAATATGCATAGAAGTAAACAGCATTAAACTCACTAAAACAACGGATTCATATGAGTTATTGGGGGCCAGACCCCTACTTACCCCTCTTGAGCACACTTCTCGTCAATGCCATTTTCTGATCACTAGTTTGAAGTTACTTGTCGTTTGATATGGACTTTGTAATGTGTTTTACATTTCATCCACCTTTAGAAATATCAAAAAAATCATGGATTTGGTTCAGGAACGTCGAGAGCCAGCACGGGCCCCTGGGCAAACATCCTCGCCGGGCCCCCTTTCTCTCTCTTTCAAGAATTTATTAAAAAGAAGATCCTAAATTAGGGCAGCAATGAGCTCATAAACCACAGCAGCAGCCGTTTTTACCTCACAGTATAAGCGTAAAAACTTTAATAAAGTAACAACAAATATCCATTAAATCTATAAAGTAACAAATACATATTAATTATTACTCAAATTATTATTTCAGCCGTTCTTAATGCATCAAGCGTCTATTTGCAAAGAAAAGCCAAAAACTATGGTTTTTATCATTATATGAAGATATAGCCTAAAAATGCTTTGCGGGCTTTACATAACCAGGTTTCATTCGTCCAGGCCCCTGGACAGTTGCACCCCCCTGTCGGCGGTCCTGATGTGGTTTGTTATTTATCAAAATTACTGTGACGAGAAACACAATCAAACTAATTTCTTACACCTTTTCGCTTAACATCTCTATATGGAAGTTAGTACAAACGTAGAAGATATATTATCATTTATCTTTAGATATTAAAAGTCGAACGTATTAAATATTTAACTCATTAAAATCGCTAAATAAAAATAAAACTATAAAATACATTTCTTTGCCGAGTCATTAAGTACCAACATCTATTAGTAAATATATTGTTGAAATTAAATATCTTTAAAACAACAATTAAATTTAATCTGCCGACTTTTTAATGCTATTTCGAAAGATATCACCAATAATGATAATTCATGTTACCTCGAAGTGAAGATATTGTTTTGATCAGAAATTTAATCTTTTTTGAACGAGTAAAATAAACAAGAGCCAATCGAAACTAGGCGCAAGTTCAGGA